AATAGTAATAGTAATAGCAGCTTAATTTAACTTAAAAATTAACTAATATAATATTATAAGCGTGTTTCTAAACACACACTATAAAAGTAAGCTAAAAGTAATATGTAAGCTTTAAAAAAGCTTTATAAAGCCTAGCATATATGTTAAGCTTCTCTAAGCCTTATATAAACTATGTAACTTGCTAATCTTATAGTACTAAAAGCTCTTATAAGCTTTTTAGAAGCTTAAGCTTATTTTATTTAAAAAAAACTATGCTTATTTTTTAACTATAATTACTATATCTTACTTCTTTTTTATCTAGACAACATACTTTATATTTATTACTATAATAATAAGTTAAAAGCTTCCTAATTACTTAATGTAATTAAAAAAATATATAAGCTAAAAAATTAAAAGCTATGTAAATAGTTTTTAAAAATTAAAATAATTAAAAATAAAAACGCTAGAATAATCTAGCTAGTACACAACATATATTTTAAAAAAGTAGTAAAGAAGTTTAACTTTATAAAAAGTGTGCTCTTTTTAGAGACTCTTCTACTATTAGAAGAGCTTATAAATAACTAGGGATTAGCATTAAAGCATAAAATTAAAGAATACTAAGAGCGCGTAGGATTAACACTCTACATTATAATTATAGTGCGCCTTAATGTAGCGTTTACAGCATTCTAGCTCTCCTACTACCTAATAAACCTAGGAAAGCAGCACTTCTAGGCAGTAAACTAGGTAATTATGTACCTATACTCTATAAGGCAAACAGGCATATAGTATAGAGCACTAGAAGGCGCGTAACTTATTATGTGTAGAGACATGTTTTTTACTAATTATATAAAGACTAGATAATTATCTTAAAAATATATTATCTTACTTTTTAAAAAACTAATTTTATAAAAAGTAGCTTTTTAGCTAATAGTAACTATGTTTATAATAAAAGCTAAGCTACTTACTCTAGCGCACATTATAAAGAAATTACTAGCTTTAAAACACTTTTTTAAAGAGCTTACTCTAGAGCTAGGCACACTATAGCAGATCTACTGTAATAACTAGCAGACAATCTAGTTAGTAGTAGAAAAGAACGCCTAGATAACTACCTACCTGCGCTACATTAATATCTAGAACATGTAGCTGCGCTAGAAGCATGTAAAAAGATCTTTTAAAGTGCGCTATATTAAAATAAGCAACATGCTAGTAGATAGACTTATAAAGCACTTACTAAAATAGTAATTTAAGCACTTTAAGCAGCTTTTTAACTTTAAAGACATGTAAATAAGCTTCTAAAAAAAGAAATTATTAATTATTAATAGTAAAGACATTTTTACACTGCTTAAAAATAAAAAAGCTATTTACTAGTAAAAACACTCCTCTATGCTATAAAGTTTAAGTAGGGATTTAGTATATAAGATGCGCAAAAACACAGAATACTTAAACTATAAAAAGATTAACAAGCTTACTTAAGAGCTTCTTAGCGCGCTAGCAACACACTAGAAGCCTAAAGGAAATGTTACTTTATTTTTTTATTTTTATTTTTTTATCTTTTCTAATTTTTTTTTTTTTATCTTTTCTACTTTTTTTTATCTTTTTTTTTTTTTCTTTACTACTTTTTTTTTAAGCAGAGCTTAAAAAACTAGCTAAAGCTAGAATGCAGCCTATAGCCTATTAGTCTAATCTAAGGTATAATGTATAATCTCTGCAAAGAAGCTTACCTGCTTGTCCTCTGCAACAAAAGCTGCAATAAAGCGCCGCGCATAGACAACAGCAATAGGGGGACTGCAAATAGGTTAAAACTAGATTACCCTACACACTACTGCAGGGCTTACAGGGGCAGGCAGCTATGCCTAGAGAAATAGCGCTAACAGCGTAAACTACTAGAGGCAGAATTATAGCACTTCTTACTAAAGCGCCCTGCAAGCGCGCTCTTTATGTAGCCTAGACAGGACTGCGCGCGGAGCGCACCAGGAGGAGGCCGGCAGGGGGTGGTGGGCGCAGGGCGACGGGGGGTGGTAGGCGCGGGCTTGCGGGTACGCGCAGGGCGGCGGAGGGTAGTGGGCGCGGGCTTGCGGGCGGAGCAGCCCTGCAGAGCGGCGGCACGCAAGCAAGCAGCTCTTTTAGCTTTATTAAGCTATAAATGCATGTTAGTAAAGATTATAAATAAGTTTAAAGTTATTTTTAAAGCTTAAAAGCATTAACTTACACATAGTATGTTAGTTAGATCTAAAGAATAGAAGCTTAAAAAGTAGAAGAATTTATTTACCTTTATTACAGTAATTATAGCACGCATGTGACCTACGCTGCCTAGGGAAACAAGCATTGCGCTGCCTAGGGCAATAAACACTAGAATCACTAAGGACAACAAGCACAAACACAGGGTAAACGCCTAGCGCTGCTCTAACAAGCTAAGGTAACGCTCTACGCAGGTGAGCTGCGCAGCAGCTCACCTGCGTAATACTTAGCTTTTATATTAGCTACTAGGTAAAACTAGCTCTAGATAACTTTTAAATTTTTATAAAATACTTTTTTATAATTATACTTATAATTAAACTTTATTATAAACTTAAGGCAGTGCTTAACTTATATACTAAGCTAGTTTAAGCTAACCTAGCCTAGATTACGCTCTGCGCGTAAGGAATTAGCTATATTAGCTATAGCTATAAGCCTAGAGAGAAATCTGCGTGTAATAAGCTTAAGTATATACTTAATAACTACTTTTTTTTAAAGCTTGGTTAGATTTCTTAATTTAGGCTAGCATTTTACTTGTAAAGGCTGTCTAGCACATTAATTACTTAGTGTTATATAAAAGACATTATAAATAGCTATAGTGTATTATAAAAAGAGTTTTAAGTTTTATTTAAAAGCTTAAAGAGTAAGCTATATTTAACATTCTTTAGAAGATTTAATCTAGTGTTGTTGTTAAAGCATTATGTAGATAGGTAGAGTGTAGTAGAGGCTTAGCAAAAGTAGCTAGCTAACCTGTGTGGCTGGCTAACCTGTTAGGTATGTTATTAGTAACTATAATAAGTTAATAAGCTTTAAATAAGTGTAGTATATTTTTTATAGTAATCATAGTATTTTATTAATATATAATAGGCTAAAAGAGATTTTCTATAATTTTTAAGTAAAGCTTAATAAACTTTATTAATAATAGTTCTTATTATTCTTACACTACTAATTATAGTCTGCCTTGTTCTTTTTTTTATATTAGTGCAGCAGTTTAGAACACAGTAGGTTTACTTAGTCTTAAGTAGGTTTTAGTATAATAATATTTAATGCTTTAGTTAGTAACTTATTAAGTGTGTTTATATTACTTACTTTAAATTAATAATAAATTTTTATTATTCTAGCTAGTTTTTACACTTTTTGCTGCTCTTGCAGCTAGGCGCAGGCTTCTGCTAAAGCCTAATTTACAGGGGTAGACTGTGCGTTGCTTAGTCCTACACTAGCCCTTTTAACCTTTTCTAAGCCCTAATTACCTTCTAGATAGCTTAATAACCCTAATTTATAAAAGTTTTTATTTTTTTTTTACTTATTTTTTACTTTGTTTTTTTTTATATTAGTGTTAACCTTAGTTAAGTATTACTAGAAGTAGTAGTCTTAGCTACCTTTTTAAGTAGTTTTAAGCACTAGTTATATCTAATTCTTCTCTAGCATTTTGCTTTAACACTATTATATAGGAATGTTGCCCTTAAGTAGTATGCTAGCTTGTAGAGTAATTTAAATATAAAGATAGAATAGTAAGTAGCACAGATAGCACTAAGAGCACGCTTTTAAAGAAAGATAGAAGTGTCTTATAGAAGAGATAAATTGCTGCTAAGCCTTACTTGTTAGGATTTATGCTTATATACAAAGCACAGGTTATATAACCTCTAAACAGGTTAGGTGAGGCCATACTAGCCTGTTCTAGGACATCCGGCCTTACATAGAGCAGGTTGTTATAGGCTATAATAGAGTTTGTTAGAGTAGGGTCTTAGCAAAAGTAAGCGACTTAGGTGTGTAAGCAACTCGCCTGTGAAGTATGTTATAAACTTACTTCATTACTAGTAATAAAAAATAAAGGTGTAACAAGTGTTAAAAAAAGTATTTTTTACTTTTAAAGCTTACTTTATTAGTGCTACTGTTAAAAAGTTTATATTAAAGTTAGAATAGTTCGTCTACTTATAAAAGAAGATACAGCTTAGCTTAAAAGTACTAAACTTAGAGTTTAAACACACTTAAAAGAGCTTCTTTAAAATAATAGTAGCCTACTTAATAGCTTATAACATAAAACAAAGAAACACTTTTATTATTTTAAAGTAATCTATTAACTACACAAAACATTTAATGTTAGACCTATTATAAATTTGTCTTAGAAGGTTTCTAGTAATACACCTAAGACAATATACTATTCTAGTGCACCCTAACCTGCACCTATGTTAGTACCCTAGTCCACCTAGTCCTATAGGTTTTTGCTAAGAGTATAAAACTAGAGCTAGATAAACTAGAGAGGCTAGCTTATATAGTCCTTAAGCTAGTACACTCTTATTAAGAGAGAAGAATCTTAATTAGACATAACATAAGTATTAAAGGTAATAAGAATAAAAGAGCTTTTAAACAGCTTTTACTAGCGCTATAGTTATATAAAAAGAATTATTCTAGGTTTTTACAGTGCTAGGCCTATAACTATAGAGACTAAAATAGCCTAGCAGTAGCTGTTTAGAAGATTAGATAAAGTAACTCTGCTATCTAGGAGAATTGAAGGCTCTCCTTATATACACCAAGCTTCGGAACATATTATCTCCAGATCCCGAGCCGTGTCCCAGGCTCCAAGCCCGAGCCAAGGCTCTCAGTGTACGCGACACCTCTTAAGCTAGATGCAAAAGCTAAATGTGCAGTAGTGACTATAGTACTAGTTAGAAGCGCAACTCTAGGCTTATCACTCTTGCATAAGCGAAGAAGGGGTTGTAGGGTAAGCAAGTTAACAAGGTATTAAGATCTAAATAAGGTGAATTATACAAGTGTATTGTAAGGTCTAAGGAGCTTGAGAGAGCTCTGGGCTGACTATATACTGTACAAGAAAGCAGGTAGTCCTAATGAGTGAATAGTGCAGTACATGGGTATGGTATCGCGTGAGACACGTGTGACATCTAGATCTGTTGATCTCTTGGGTTCAATGTGAATAGGCTTAATGTAGATATCAGTTCTTACATATGAGAGCGATCCAAAAGATCTTTCATCCACGGAAACACCATTGTATACCTAAGGGTTGCAAAAGAAATGATAACTCAGAACCTCAACGAACGGGAAACCAAACTTATTAAGCCGTCATATCGAGCCTTTCCCCAATGTATCCATGGCGGGCTGGCACATCTTATCTAGACTAGCCTGCAGTCCCGGCACGTTGGATTTCAACTCATCGATTACCTCCTTCCACACCTGTTTCTGCAGTGCCCTTGCCTTGTCACTGCCGATTACGGACTTCGCTTGCCTATAGACGCTTCATCAGTACTCTATCCAATAGTCACCACTTAGATGTGTCATGACATACCCGCGATACATGTCGGGCGTCATCCAGTAATTGAAGAACTCGCCCTAAAACGCACATGGTTAGAATGGATTCCAATGCTCAACACAGAACAAATTTGTTTGACTGTCAAGAGCGTGATTTGTGTACGTGCGCTTGGGTAGCTAGTACTCACGTGATTCTCCTTCGGCTTCAGTGCGGCCGTGACGCAGATTCTCGAGCCCGAATCGGCAGTTTTGGCGGTTACAAACAGAGTTAGCCAGACACCGATCGCGTGGATCCACGATCTCGTGGCTATGCGACGGCCAATATCGGTTTTGACCATCCCGGGACACACGCTGTTAACAACGACGAGAGGACTAGCAAATCGTTAGCAACCCAGCATTGTGTCAGCTGTGAGTATCGATGGGGATTTTTTGGACTAGTTGAGGAAGAGATGGGAGATGAATGGGTTCAAGGGCTCATGTCTTACTCGCCGTCCGGCCCTCGGGCCAATTCGCTGATACCCTCGATCGTGTACATGAGCAGAAGCTTGCTAATGTTGTAGTTCGGCTGCGTTTCCCAAAATCCGCCATCCCAGTTGTCCTTGCTGGACACCTGTCGCAAAATGCCGTCCTTTTCCTGAGACCACCTGACCAGTGGATCGATGTCGTTGTAGAGATGGTCGCGCGAGGAGACGAAGACTATATGCGCTGGAGACTTTCTATGACTCCGGGCTTCACGCATCCATCCTAGCAGAAGCAGGCTGAGGAGAGTCGTACCGATGGTGTTGATTTGGATTGTTCTTTCCCTAGACCACCTGCGCGTTAGACTGATCGAATTCCGGTCCAGGCTTACCATATAGTGAATAATAGGGTCAGGGGAGAGATGAGCGCCGTAGTACCTACCAACCTGCCTCACTTTGCTCCCAGTGAGAATTCACCATGCCACCGTTCAGGATCGCTACATCTAGCGCGGCAGGGTCGGGGAGACTGGTTTTCAGCTTGGCCATGAAGCTGGTGCACGATTCGTAGCTTTCTAAGTCCAGCTCAAGACACGATATGTCGCCTTTGTAAGAGGGCCCCACCGCTTCTTCTATGTGCCGTTTTGCAGCTTCCCCACGAGATGCTACGCGGGATGTGATGATGACGCTAGCGCCGAGGGTCGCAAAGTGCACGGCAGCAGCGAGCCCAATACCAGTGGAAGCACCGGCGATGAGAACTGTCTGCCCGTCGAAGGTCCCAGACGGGGGCAATGACACTGGCACGAAACGCCCCACGAGCCGTTGAAAAGGAGCGTCCATGGCGTCTTTCTGTGCACAGAGTTTGTGGAGATAGCTCTTGGGTGAGTGTCAGGGGAGTAAGGATAAGCATGGGCAAGACGAGCTTACTTTATGGCGACAAGCTCGGTTACAAGGTGACACAAGGCGGGGGCTGTACACGTCACGTGTTGGAACGTCACGTGACAGTGCTCTCCGATCAGATACTGCCATCTTGGTTATGTACTTGATACTAGCTAGGATGGGAAGAAAAAAGATGTATTTAAAAGTAGGGTCTAAACTTATATTATTATTTCTATTAGCTTAGATTAAAAAATCTGTTCATTTCTAACTTATGTACTATGCATAACTATAACTATTTATTTTAGAATGATAAATACATAACTAACATAGACACTATATATATCTTCTATAAAAAATTACACTCCTAGTGTAGACTATCTACTGACTTGAGTGCACCAATATGCATGGGGTTTCTACTGACCTACACCATTGAAGGGAACTTTTGAATGTCTGTCGGAGACGGAAGAATGCATAAGGTAGTATACGGTAACCAGGATGATTAGCATGGATATGTAGCATTTACCTCAAGAATAATAGGGGGATGGGGCGTATGCGAAGCGCCCAATAACCGGTAAAAAGGGAAGAATGTGCCAATAACATGGCAAGGCAAATCTCTGATGCGTGTAACACAGTCGTCAGCCGCCTGAGCAATCACGCATGCCCCTCTTGCACTACCCTCCCAACAATTTATGATCTCGTCGAAGGATCTCAAGTCCGACTTATGATACTCTATGAAGCTCGGAGATCCCGCCCGTGCTTATCCTCAAGCTTAAGCGATATTCAGGCACACCGATTGCTTGATTTACGCGAAGTTCACAACCCATGTCGATTGTACACTTTTCGTGTCGACATATTAATTGTCGTCTCTTCGGAGACCGACGAGTATGCATGTAAGATTCAGAACGGGCATCTGGCAAGAATATCAGACTGGGTCCCCTGTCGATGAATTGCGTGATCATACGACCTTTCGTTTGATGAGGCTGCAGGATCCAGGGGCCAGGAAGAGGAGGGGTACATGGCCTTCTCATGAGCGGGCGTCTAGCGTCGCCCGGGCCATGGCGTCGTACCGATTATGACCAAAACTGTAATTTTCTATGAAGATTACATACAAAAAAGTAATCCAATAATCATTTACCACTTGGTAAGCCCGCCACCTGCCTAGATAACTGCCTAGCAGCGCTCTTACATAGATTAAATATACTTACTATAGTTATTAGTCTTAATCTTCTTCTACTCCTCCTTTAGAAACTGCTGTACTTTGTTATTTATCTGTAGAAAACACTTCCTAAGCCTCTACTTTAGCATCTGCTAAATATTCTTAATTAGATTAAAATCTAGTACGTTTACTAGCTACTAGTTCTTTATAATCCTCTACGCTTTATAGGCCTCTATAGTAGCCTTAGATTTATGTATAAAGCTATTATCTTTTATAAAGAGAAGCTCTCTGCTAGTGTAAGTTTTATATACCTACTAGTAGGCAGTAATTTAAAGCAGAATGTGTTAAGCATAAACCTTAAAGTTAACTATACTCTTAGCATTTATACACTAGCTATTTTTTAATAATACTAGAAGCTCTTTAGCTTTTATTAAGATAATGCTTTACACTATATAGCTACTATATGTTACAGTCCCTATGTAGACTATAAGCGAGTGTTAGACAACCACTTAATTATACAACAACTAGTGGTGGAACTTCTTCTTAGCCGCACAACAGGAGCGACAGCGTGATAGAGACACGTGACCACCGGAAGCCTCCAGGTGAGGCCTTAGCAAAGTGACCGCAACAACCGCAACGACCGCAGTAACCGCAGCTAGGACCTGCGGTTACAACAGTTACTACAGTTACAACGGTTAATTTAACGTATATAGTCTTAATCCTACCTATTATTTAGAAGGTTGTGATTAACGTTTAGTCTTCTTGTCGCGTATACTGAGAGCCTTGGCTGGGGCTCAGAGCCTGGAACGCAGCTCGGGATCTGGAGATATTATGTTCCGAAGCTCGGTGTATATAAGGAGAGCCTTCAGCTCTCTTAGATAGCAGAGTCACTTCATCCGATCTTCTGAACAGCTACTGCCAGGCTATTTTATCCTCCACACTTCTCTTTACATAGACTAAGTAGTATAGTAGTTTCTAACACTATACTATTATATATCCTTACTTATATATACTCTTTTATTATCTTTCTTAAAGATTGTTTCTGTAGCTCTCTATACTAAGCCTAAAGAGGCAAATGATAATAGGCTAACACCCTCTAAAGCCCTCCATAACGCTATATAAGAACTGTACACCTTTGTCACGCCTACTCTTATATCTAAATCCTTAACCATCCCTAGCCTGCGTACTAAACAGTAGAAAAGCCTACCTAGTAAGTAGATATTATAACATTAATCACTACCCCCTTAAACAGTATAAATCCTCTAAACCCTCTAGTTAACACTTTAATAGTTAGGTTCGCACTATCTAGAAGCACACTACTGCTAACAGCAAACAAACACAATTAATAAAACAAATTAACAACATGCAACTAAATATAACAAAACTTTATAGCATGTATAAAAAAAAGAATAATATAGCTGTAACAAAGTTTCTATAATTAGCATCTTTAAAGACTTTTAATAGCAACGCTTAAGACCTAAAACCTTTCTTTACTAGATGCACTTCATATATAAACTATAATTAAGAACTATTCTAAATAGACAAAAAAATAATTTAATAGATAAAACTTTATCTTAATAGCTACCCGACTATATAGTTCTAACTCTACACTAACAATTAGAGAAACTATTAACTCTATAGCTAACCTTTCTAAGAAGAAACTAGACTAATCCTATAAATATTAGGATATGTTTAGAACACTAGAGGATCTAGGCGAACTAACTCTACACGAACTATAGGATTATAAAATTAACTTAATTCTAAACATAAAACTAAATTTATATAACATACAAGCTATTACACAAGCTTACAAAATAGCCTTATAAGAATATGTAAATAAGACGCTAGCACAACAACATATTTAAGAAAGTAAAAGCTAAGTAGCCTTAGCAGTAGTATTTACACCTAAAAAGAACAGGAAGCTATAAGTATGCTAAGACTACAAGACTCTAAACAACAACATAATAAAAGATAAACATCTACTACTTATTATCTAAAACATTATAGATTAGCTATATAAAGAACAAAGCACATAATAAAGTTTAATATAGAAGATAACTTTAATAAAATAAAGATCTATAAAGAAGATAAATACCTAACAGCCTTTAAAACTCTATAGAGACTATATAAACTATTAGTTATGCTGTTTAGATTAACAAACGCCTTTACTACATTCTAAAGAATTATTCACAAAGCACTAAATAAATACTTTAACATATTTATGTTAGTATATCTAAACAATACCCTTGTATACACTAAAAACACTTATAAGAACTATATTAGCAAATTAAAGCTAGTACTAGACAAGCTACATGCACATAGGCTATACCTATAGCTAAGCAAATGTAAATTTAACATCTAAAAGATAATATACTTAGAATTTATTGTTAATAAAAAACAAGGTAAAATTAACCTAAAGAAAATAAAAGTAGTTATAAAGTAGCTAAATCTAACTAATGTAAAAGGCCTAAAAGAATTCCTAAGACTCTTAGAATATATCTAACAGATAATCTATAGGTACTTAGAAATAGCTCTACCTTTTACTAACACTATAACAAAGGAAAGAGTCTAAAAGAAATTTATCTAAACACTAGAAATAAACTACGCCTTCTTAGAAATTAAGAAAGCTATTAGCAAAGAACTAGTTATTAAAATGTACAACCCTACATTTAAAACTAAGGTACACACAGATGCGTTAACAAAAGCAAAAGGCGCTGTACTATACTAAAAACAAGAAAATAGCTAATAGCATCCTATAGCATACTACTCTAGCAAATTCTAGCCTACTAAACTAGAATATAACATTCTAGACAAAGAACTTAAGGTAATTATTAATGCTTTAAAAACATAAAGCGTCTAGTTAATAAAAAGAAAAAAGAAAATTAAGGTACATATAAACTATAAGAATTTAACTACCTTCTTAACAAATAAAGACCTGCTATCTAAGCACGTCTGCTAGGCTATAGAGCTTAGTTAGTAGAACTTTATAATTAAGCACATAGCAGGAGTAAACAACTACTAAGCAAACGCTCTAAGTAGACAAGCTAACTATATAATCTCTAATAAAGAAACCAAAGAATTTGTAATCTTCTAACAAATAGATAAAGGCCTAGTTTATAATAGCCTAACTCTAGAAAAACTAATAGCAACTCTTACCTTAGTATAACAAAGATAAAAAAACTTAATCTAAAAACACGATAAGTTCTTAATGTTTAGACACTCTAGAATTAGAACATTAGTTAAAAAGCTAAAAACAATGTACCTAGCAGTACCTAAACAGTTAAAAAAACTCTGTATAGAAGTTCTAGTAGAATGTAACACTTGTAATAAAAACAACCTACAACGTTATAAACTTATAGAGAACTCTAGGCTATTCCTACTCTAGCACAACTATAGATAATAACAATAGTAGACTTTATAATAGGCATACTACTTTTGCAAGAACTAGGCTTAGAACAAGTATATAATATAATAACTATAGTTCTAGACAAAACTACTAAATTCCTATATATATAGCTAGTAGAAAAGACTATAACTATAAAAGAATTTATTTATAAGTTTAACAACATGTTATAGCTATTTACAGCTATCTAGAAGTTATTATATTAGATAAAGATAAGCTTTTTACTAGCAAATTTTAGCAAGCTGCTATGTAATACATAGCTATCACGCATAAACTTTTAATAGCCTACCACCTATAAACAAATAGATAGATAGAAAGAGCTAACTAGATAGTGCTATAGTACCTTAGAAAGTACGTAAACTTAGAACAGAACAATGAGGCTGCCTAGCTTCCCCTTGCCTAGCTAGCTCTAAACACTGCTAAATTAGCAACTATAAAAGAAACTCTATATATAGTAAATTTTAGTTATTTCCTACAATTCTTAATCTAAGGAAAACAACTATAAGATCTAAAAGAAGTAAAAGAAAGAATTATAAAGATTTAAAACCTATACTAAAAGTTAGCAGAATAGGCATAGATAAGCTAGAAACGTATAACTAAACAAGCTAACTAACATAGAATAGAAGAGCCTAATATCTAACTAGAAGATAGAGTTTACTTAGAAACTAAAAACTTAGACAGATAATAACTTTTATAAAAACTAGTAGAAAAATAAATTAGTCTATATAAAGTTATAGCTAGACAAAAGGTTAACCTCTACCTAAAGCTTCCTCGAACTATAAAAATACACCTATAGTTCTACATCTCTAGACTAAAAAAGCCTTAGATAAGATCTTTATAGCTATAATAAGCTAGAAACTAGTTAAAATAGAGTATAAAGTAGAACACATTCTATTATCTAGAAACAACAGAACGTTATTTCTAGTTAAATAAAAGAGATAGCTTACTAGTTAGAACACTTAGAAACTACTTAGAAACTTAAAGAATACTCTAAAGGCACTAGCTTACTTTTAGAGAGCTTAGACAGCAAAAACTACCTAGGTAAAAAAATGCTAAAGTTAGTAACTAAAGCTTTATTACTAGAAACATCGCTTAGCTCTAATGTAGGTTTACAAGATTCTAACAAGACAGGCTAAGAAGAAGAAAGGCTAGCAGCCTTAGCCTCTAGCGCCTCTAACTTATCTATTAACAACAGGTCTCTCTCTATGTATTTAGTCTAACAATTTTAAAGCAGGTAGAGTTGCTTCTCTAAGCGCACCTCTTTAGCAGAGGCCTAAGATACCTTCTAAGTAACTGCTGCTGCAGCATCTTTAGCAAGAGCTCTCTGCTTAAGGGCTTCAACCTAGGCCTTCTAAGCCTCTCTTATCTCTTTTAGTACTTTCGCACAATCGCGCTCTAGCCTCTCCTAGGCCTGGTTAGAAACAAAAGCGTTGAAACAACTCCTCTTCTACACGCATTCTATATAATTGTCTAACAATAACAATAGAACACACTTAGAAGAAGAGGAACAGCATAGACTACACAGCTGCATCTTAGTACAACAAAGAGGATTAAGACAGGAAGCAGCATGTTTGCAGTAGAGCTAGTAAGATGAACAAGGCATGAATAGAATAAGACGCAGCAATAAAGGAAAATAGGCACTTATAAGTTATAACACTTGCTTAACACTTGCAACAGTGTAGACAAGGCGGCAAGAACGCTGCTAGAGAGAAAGGTGTAACGGCACAGGCAAGACAATGGATCCAAATGCGGTAGGAATCCACTCAGAGGCATATAGGAGTGCGTGAGGACTTAATGACCTGGGAATTCCATTAACACCTATAGGCCTTGTACAAGGGATATCTGAAAACTACTAAGCTAGCTACAGGGGAGGTGCGACTAAACACATAGGGGAATAGAGGTAACAGCAGGGGGCAGGGCAGAGTTGGGGCTAGGTCGAGTCAGGGTCAAGTTAGGGTTAGAGTTAATACAGGGACCCTTTAGATAGGTTCTAGGCAACCTAAGATAGAACAAGAATTGTTACACTACCCCCCCCTCTATAAACTAATAGTCTCTATTAGTGTAGAAAGTATTGCTATTACGTTTTTTAAACTAAAACTAGTCTAATTTAACTAGGTGTTCTTATTCTAAAATATTCCTTTGCAAATACTAGCAGTGTTCTCTAAACTAAACGCTATGCGTGCGCACCCGCTCTAATAGTAATCTACATTAATGCCTAGCCTGCTAATTAAGGCCTGCTATTGTTTAAACATTAGTTTTTTGGTATTTATACAGTTATTAATTTTAGGCGTGCGTTTAGTAAAGTAGCATTAGGTATTATTAAGAGTGCCTAAAAGATCTCTTGCTATTAGAGTAGCAGTAGTAATTTAAGGCATTATTAGGGGTAATTTAGTAGTTAGGGGTTAGTAGTTAAGAGTTAGGCATTAGTAGCTATCTCTAATCCTAATAGGTTATTAGTAGTCTCTAGGTTTCTACTTTAGCGCATTCTACACAACTTTTCTAAAGGTAATTCTAATTATAAGAGATAAGAAGTTCTAAACTTAAAGGCTTTAGTTAACAAAAAGCCTTTAGTATTCTATTTATAGACTAAATAGTTTAAAATAACAGAGTGTAAGTATTATAACTTAAACTAAATTAGACATGTCTTAGGCTTAGACATAGTTAAATAAATAATTAATGTAATATTATAATAAAGCTATTACTAGTAAAAGTAAGTTTTCTAATATAATGTAATAGCACAGGCAAGACAATAGGTCTAAATGCGGTAGGAATCCACTTAGAGGCACATAGAAGTGCGTGGGGACTTAATAACCTAGGAATTCTATTAACACCTATAGGCCTTGTACAAAGGATATCAGAAAACTACTAAGCTAGCTATAGGGGAGGTGCGACTAAATATATGGGGGAATAGGGGTAACAGCAGGGAGCAGGGCAGAGTCAGGGCCAGGTCGAGTCAGGGTCGAGTCAGGGTCCGAGCCGATACGGGGACCCTTCGGATAGGTTCCGGGCGACCCGAGATGGAACGAGAATCGTTACAGAAAGGCTGTATGTTACAGTCTCTAAGTAGACTATAAGCAAGTGTTAGACAACTCCTAAATTATACAACAACTAGTAGTAGAACTTCTTCTTAGCTGCATAACAGATGCAACAGCGTGATAGAGACACGTGACTACTAGAAGTCTCTAGGTAAGGCCCTAGCAAAGTGACTGTAACAACTGCAACAACTGTAGTAACCGCAGCTAGAACTTACGGTTACAACAGTTACTATAGTTAAAATAGTTAAATTTAGTGTATATAGTCTTAACGTTTAGTCTTCTCTTTACATAGACTAAGTAGTACAGTGGTTTCTAACAACACTATACTGTTATATATCCTTACTTATATATACTCTCTTATTATCTTCCTTAAAGATCGTTTCCCCAGCTCTCTATACTAAGCCTAAAGGGGTAAACCACGATAGGCTAACACCTTCTAAAGCCCTGCGTAACGCTACACAAGAACTGTACACCCTTGTCACGTCTACTCTTATATCCAAATCCTTAACCATCCCTAGCCCGCGTACCAAATAGTAGAAAAGCCTACCTAGTAAGTAGATATTATAACGCTATAGTTCTTAAACTTAGGAATGCAGTAGTTAGATAGAAAGGGCTTTTTAGCTCTATAAGTAACTTAAATCTCTTCTAGGCTTACTTTAGCTAACATTTTATTAGCTTAAGCTACTTTATTCTATATAGCTTTAGACTAGCTAAGGTGCTTCTATGCCTACTGTAGCCTTGCAGCTTTATGCTCTTTAATAAGAAGAAGCTTATGCATAGCCTTTCTATAATAATAAAGCTTCTTCTTAGTGTAACGATCCTCATGAATCGTTCCATCTCGAGTCGCCCGGAACCTCCGGAAGGCCCTCGTATCGGCCCCGACCTCGACCTGGCCCCGACTCTGCCCTGCCCCCTGCTGTACCCCTATTCCTTCATGTATTTAGTCGCACCTCGCCCCTGTAGCTAGCTCGGTAGTTTTCTAATATCCTTTTGTACAAGGCCTATAGGTGTTAATGGCATTCCCAGGTTCAGAGTCCCCACGCACTCCCATATGCCTCTGAGTGGACTCCCATCGCATTTAGACCCATTGTCTTGCCTGCGCTGTTACATTATATTAGAAAACTTGCTTTTGCTAGTAACAGCCTTATTAATAATATTACATTAATTGTTTGTTTAACTACGTCTAACTCTAAGAAGCGTCTAATTTAGTTTAGGTTGCAATTTCTTACACACTGTCACATTAAATCATTTAGTTAGTACAGACAGGATCCTAGAGACCTTCCGTTAACTAAAGCCTTTAGGTTTAGAACTTCCTATCCCCTGCGATTAGGATTGCCTTTAGAAAAGTTGCAAAGAGTGCGCTAAGGTAGAAACCTAGAGACTACTAATAACCTATTAAGATTAGGGACAACTACTAATGCCTGACTCTTAACCACTAGCAGATCCTATTGCAAAGACTGCAACCTGTTCTAGCCGCAGCTAAGGCAAGATGCCTGCCCCTAGAACTGAACGACCACCACCCTGTCAACAGCTAAACCTGCGTCCGCGGGACCTGAAGCTAGACCCACCTGATTCAGAGTCGACCCCCAGCAGTATATCTATGCTCAATTACAAGCACAGCTTGAGCAGTTGATCCACTAAATCACCCCTGATAATGCCTTAAATCACCACTGCTACCCCATAGCAAGAGACCTTTAAGGCACCCCTAACAACGCCTAAATGTCACCACACTAAACGCACAACTAAGATTAATAACCGCACAGATAGCAAGGAAAAAAGAGCAAGTCTTAATTATTAACAGGCTGAACATCTATACAGATCACTATTGGAACAGGCGCGCATGGCGTTTGGTGTGGAGGACACTGCTGGCAGTGCGAAGGAATAATTTGGAGCAAGGACACCTAGCTGAATTAGACCAGTTTTAGTTCAAGGAGGCAGAGGACATGACAGCGATACTTTGTACTATAATTACTACTGATAGGGACTATTAGTCTACAGAGGGGGGGGTAGTGTAACAATCCTCATGAATTGTTCCATCTTGAGTCGCCCGGAACCTCCGGAAGGCCCTTGTATCGGCCCCGACTTCGACCTGGCCCCGACTCTGCCCTGCCCCCTGCTGTACCCCTATTCCTTCATGTATTTAGTCGCACCTCGCCCCTGTAGCTAGCTTGGTAGTTTTCTGATATCCTTTTGTACAAGGCCTATAGGTGTCAATGGCATTCCCAGGTTCAGAGTCCCCACGCACTCCCATATGCCTCTGAGTGGACTCCCACCGCATTCGGACCCATTGTCTTGCCTGCGCCGTTACACTTAGAAGCCTTAATTAGTAATTAATAATAGATATTAATTTCTAGCTTATAGGCTATCTTATTTTTAGTTTTTAATGTTATTTAGTATTCTAAGTAGCATGCTAAGCAAAGAGGTGTTAAAGAGGTGTATTTAGTATAAGGCTTCTGCTCTTCTGTTTTGTAGGGGTACATAGCAAGTAAAGAGAATAAGAAATAGTTCTCTAGGGTATCTAAGATTATAGACAATAGCTATCTGCTTGTATCCTAGCTTAGCTAGTGTATAGATTTGGACGCGTTCCTTGTACGTAAGTTAACAGAGAGGTGTTTTTAGCATTATAGTAGATAACAGTAGTAGAAAAGTTACTTCTAGTTGTATGGCCCGCCTTATATAAATCTGTGTATTTTATCCAGAAGCTTCATGGCGCTTCTATGCACGGACCAAGGCCGTGCTGACGCCAGTCGCCCGCTCATGAGAGGGCCCTGTAAGAACAAGTTTACGTGAACCCTTCCTTAAGCACATCGTGCAGGGGTACTTGAGAGCTTGAAGTGTTTCATCGCGTTAGACGCGGCACAAATACAAGAGTATCGAAACACAGTGAATTAGGTGTATGTATCTGTACAGGTGGGAATTTGTCGAATACCCAGCACGCACATCATCGCTGGCTTGCAAGCTGAACCAGCCACCGTTCCAGGTCACCCATAATACGCTCCCCAAACGTTACATCGACAGCGTTATCCGGCCAGTCCGCGCTGACGCACATTCCCCGCCCAGCCACACTGGCCGGAGAAATCTCAATGGCGGCAGCGGGGATCTCGGCGCTGAGACCAAACTGCGCCCGGTCGATGGACCATTTCTGGTCGTCAGGCTCGGACGTGCTCCCGTTCAGGACACCCACATTGGTCACCAGCCACGAGAATTGGCGCGTCTTTTTAGCCATGTCGCTCATCGTCTTCTGCCAGTCCGTGACGTACTGGAACAGCCCTACTATGTCGTTCCGCAGCCCGGCTTCCACCTTGCGCACTATCTCCAGCCGATTCTGTGCCGACGCTGCCCAGAGCTCGCGTTGGAGCTCGGCGGACAGATTTATTCCCTCGTCGCTATTACATGTAGCTGGCAGCTTGGAGCGAATTCGTGCCACTAGCTCCGTCTCGAACCTATGGGGCAACTGGGTCACGTAGTTGCCTACTGCTTTGTTAGAGCTACCCCACGGAGCGTCCGGCGGAGCCGCAGGTAAATTCCGGCGGTGGTCCACAATGGTAGAGCTCTGGAAGGCCGGGGCGGCCGTGCTGTTGAGGCGCAATGAGAAGGCAATGAGAGACAATCCGTGCAGCAGGCCGGTGATTGTAGTCTTGTTCTGTCGGCAGAGGGCTTGAATTTTGTCAGCACAAATACTGGGAGATGTCTCAGTCTACTGATTGTATTGGGATAACCTGCCTAGGATCGCAGATAGAGATGCGTCATCCATGAAGAAGGCCCGGAACTGGGTTTTGTACGGAGAGGTACGGATTGGGCACCAGGCCGCTTGAGACACGTCGGGACTAAGACGATTAAGAAATTGAGGCCGAAACTCCTCCCAAAGTGACTTGGCAAAGTACTTGGGATCTAAAGGAAGACTCTTCAAGCTCTCAATTGGGGTTGGAAGCATGGGGGGCGCTTCAGGTAGTCTCAGGATATCGCCATCCAAGCCCGCCCGCTTATATGCTCCGTTCTCCGCGGTAGCAGTATCAAGAATCTCGAGAAAGTCTTCGTGCCAGATCTTGGCGCCTGCGCCGTCGAATTGGGGGTGATTGAAAGCGAGTAGGACCTCTAGGATAGGAGCATCTCCTTGCCGAATGATGGTAATCTTCCAGCCTGGCTGCTTGGCCCAAGTCTCGAGGTCCGGGAAACGCTCATCGAGCTGAATGCGAAAGGTTTCCTGGACCGTTTGTTCGAAGTCGTCATGATCTTCACCTCCAAGGTAAATCCATTTGATATGTTGCGCTAAGTCGAGACTCGGCAGCTGGATCCACGAGGGAGTCTTGGAAGTACCATCAATCATGCCGACTTGCATCATCGGATGTCTCATAATGGTATCCACGACAGCAACCTTGATTACCTTCTCCATTTGGGTCCGGGACTCTGCCACAAGACGTGGCGGAACTACATAGCGACATGAGAGAACAGTGCTACGATACTGGTCTAGTAGATACATAGCTAGTTGATACGTCTCGCTAGACACACGCTCGTTGGTTAGATATCGTACCATGCCACATTGATGCGATTGCAGGTGCTTACTTGATTCCGAATTTGCGCAGCACCACCGCCTCTTTGCCGCGGTTCACCTTGTTTGCCATGCTTCGTTGCTGGAGCGACTAATCTGGAAGTTGATTGATTCTGAGGTTGCTAGTAGATTTGAGAGTTGCTCAAGTGGTGAGTATATTGATGGCTACTTATGTAGGAAGGGTTTTGCTGCTGAGCCTCTCTGTAGGCCCGCGCCCCAGGAACTAGCCCGAATCGTCATAGCGGTGAGGTTTGTGCTACCACTTCACCCCGCACCACCTCAAGTGAGCGAAGGGCGCTCCTATGTACGCTCCTCGAACAATGATTTGGGTAAGAATGGAGCTAATATATATAATATCACCATCAGAGCACAGGTAAACAAATCGAGCTAACAGAATTTGTCGCATCCGTCAACGCTAATGTAACGCTTGACCGCCTGGTTCACGTCATGTATGCATGTGGATCACATAGGGTGAAGGCGGGGCAACTATTAATCTACCTCCCTGTATTGATGACTGCATGCTTCGGAGTCCGAACCACTCTGTAAGCGCGACACTCCCCCCCCCCCCCCAGAAATCCCCAAAAGCGGAGCTTTCCAGCGGCAATAATTTACTGGAGCTATCTCGCTTGCCCCAGGATTGCTCAGACGCTCCCAGCCATTTCAGGTGCCGAGCGTGGCAGAGGTGTGGTTCACTGACTTATTGGGAGCCATGCCATCCGTAATTCCTGGGCGTAAGGCTGTCACCGTACCTATTGATACCTACGCGTCTTCTCCGATGGTCTTCTCACTGTGTTTGACCTCTCTAGAATAAATCACATGTATGTTACTCTTCTTTCTAGCTGACCGCTCGATATATCCTCCTACATACAGGTGATATGTCCACTAGCGAGGACGCATCTCAAGTGGCTGGCATTCTTCTTATTGTCCTCGACATCATAACCGTGGCTGGCCGCTTTTACTCAAGATGGATCACCAAGCTCGGCTTCGGATGGGACGACTGGACGATTCTGATAGCTTTGCTGATTGGTATCGTGCCTGGAGCTTTGACTATGTGGGGTGCGCTTTTCTGCTTCATCTCTTCCTTCTGCGACCCCTCTATCCGGATTAGACTCTATATGGCTAGGGCTACAAGACTAACGCACCGATTAGCAAGCACGATATCTGCGACGGGGGCTGCTGCCGCCAGTAACCTCGACCCCAATCACGTCTACACTCCGGAGGATGTTCTTTACACCAAGATCACGTTCTCAACAACCGTGCTTTACTTTTTCATCACATCTATCACCAAGATCTCCATTCTGCTCTTGTTCCACCGCATCTTCTCCATCAGCGACTCCATGAGGAAATACATATACATCGGCTTTGCGGCAGTCGTGGCGTTCTGGCTCTCGGCGACGATCGCCGACCTGTTGAATTGCATCCCTCTGGAATGGACATGGAAAAATGGACTCGCTGATCCTAGATACTGCATTAGCTATAACATGTTCTGGCTGGGCACGGGCATTGCCGAGAGTGTAATAGATCTGTACATTCTGGCATTACCACTTGCAATGGTCTCCACGCTACACCTCGAGCGGAAGAGAAAGTGGGGCGTGGCTGGCATCTTCCTCTTGGGAGGGTTGTAAGTCTCAAGCACCAGGAGCTTCCCTAGAAAGCGCGTCTCTGGCTAACATTGTGTTACAAGTGTCCTATTCTCCGGCGTCGCGAAGATCATCCTGAGCTACCTAACTAATAGCCGTGAGCCTGATTTCGGCAAGGGGTCCTTATGGACGACGGTCCACCTCTACACCAGTATTCTATGCGCCAATCTGCCTACCAGTCGGCCCTTGCTCAACCGAGTTGCTCAGCTGACCTCGGCCTCACGGGTGAGGCTGTTGTCGTTGTCGCGGGCCAAGCGCTGGTACAGCCTAAGCGGTTCGCAGGAAACCAGGGGTACAAATAACGGGACAACTATATCCCAAAGCAAACCGGGAGGCGGGAGTCAAGATTCTGCCCCGTCGGGGCGAGACCAATATGAGCTTCCTTTGTATAGTGTAAATAGCCACGAAGGCCCATGAGAAGATGAAAGTGAGGGCGCAAAAAACCAAACCAGCCATACTGTAGAATCTCACTCAAGTTGCTGAACGCTAGCCGACGCTGAAGCTACAAGTATGAAACCTTTTTAACGGTCTGTGCTGCCTGTATGTAGGCGATCAGTGAATATTGCTTCTAGTTTGTAGTTATTTAGTGTCTAAGCTATCGACTCCTCAAATGTGGCCATGTACAATGAAATCGCCCCCTGCAGCAGGGGTGCGCTAGAATCTCGGATCTGCTAGTCGACTGTACAGTATTGGCTCTGAATTCTCCCACCTTGCAGTAGCGTTGCCCAATTTGACCGAGATTTTACGGTATATAAACCGAGGATCTCATACACAGAATCTTCGAAGCTTGCTCGGTTACCTTATTTCTATATATCACGACCGCAATACTCCCCTCCCTCACAGAGCATTTCGCTCGGTAACAAACATTTTGAACTTGTTCTAGTAAAGCGAGCTGCTGTGATATTTTCACGCAATGAGTGACGTACCGACGGTCGATGGCTCCTTTATTTCACCGGAGGGGCCACTGGCTACCTTCATCAAAGGCCACAGATCCCAAACGGAGCAGGCCAAATCTCTGCCGACCTTTTACCGCAATCTTGAGGAAGTTCTCGACGTCAAGCGCGCATCTGAAAACTTCTATTCAACGCTGCCGCCGGATACCACCTCCGTGGACTTCTGTTCCGGGGATGTCATGTCAATGGGCCGAAGCTCCCAGCACCGCGATGAGTTCCTTGCCGAGCTCGAAAGGCACCCCAACTTCGCCCTAGGCACCACCAGCTCGAGGCTCATGGATGGGAACTACACGTACATACAGCAAGCCGAGTCGGAGATCGCTGCCTTTCACGGTGCCGAGGCAGGGCTCCTCGTGGGCTCAGGGTTTGAGGCCAACTTAGCCATCTGGGCAACGATTCCAAGGCACGGAGATGTCATTTTGTACGACTCCTTAGTCCATGCCAGTACACACGACGGCATAAGACAGGCGCTAGCCATGGACAGGGTCGCATTTCCCCATAGTGATGTCGACGTCTTCCGCGACACGTTGCGGGACATTTTGGAAACGCGGCCTCTAGTGCGCCAGAGGAAGCGTTGCGTTCTCGTTGCGGTGGAATCTATATACAGCATGGACGGTGATATATGTCCGCTACAAGAACTCGTCGAAGCCGCCCAGGAAGTCTTCCAGGATCACGAGGGGAGCATCCAGTTCGTGGTTGATGAGGCGCACAGTGTTGGGTTTATGGGCCCCGAAGGTAAAGGACTCGTCTGCGAGCTCGGGCTAGAGAAAGAGATTGCTGTGGTTATGCATTCCTTTGGAAAGGCCATTGGTGCGTCCGGGGGTATGTGCTCACCAGCATTCTAAAGTTATGATGTGGACGCTCGAAAGCTAATAAGTCTCTTTAGCAATCATTCTCGGCAACAAAATCATTCGAGATACAGTGATAAACTTTGGAAGGGCAGTCATGTTCTCTACGGCTCCTACGTTCCCTTTCGTTGCTGCCGTTAAGTCAGGATATAAGGTTCTTAGCACGAAAGCAAAGGTAGGTGCCTTTTCTCCCTTTCCTAGTGTTTTTCCCTTTTTGATTTATCCGGTTTATCTATTTAAGAGCCACTCAACCCAGATTATTGAAACATGTCTGAATGTCGTTACTTGTAGGACCGAGAACATGTCCACGACATGGCTAGGCTGTTCTTTGAGCTCTTAACCTCACATCCCCTTTGGCCGACCGCGAGATCCAAGGGCATTCTACACGTGCCTCTCGCCGAGGGGTGGGAAGACCGGGTGGTCAACACCCATCTACTCGCCATTTCAACCAGGCCAAAGTCGTTCTGGTGGATGTACTATCATCTTCTCTCAGCTTCATTCCGCACCTTCCCCGTCACATACCCGGTGGTACCACCAGGACAGAGCCGTTTGAGGGTCATCATCCACGCTCACAATACGGAGGAGCAAGTCAGAGGATTCGTCGACGCCATCTATGCATGGGTGCAGGAAATGATAGACATAGAAGCGGGAACGGGGACAGAACCCGTAACGAAGGCGGCAAAGGAAGTTTACGATTGGATGAGACAAGAACAGGTGGACGGATTCGGGATTATTAGGGCTAAAAGAAAAAGAGAATCCTGTTGATACAGTATAATAAATTACATTAAAACTTTTTAACTAACTTACTATTAATAATCATACATAATACAGCATGGCAATTAAAAGATTTTTTTATTAGTATTCTTTTTTGTTTTTCTATTTTAGTAATTCAGGCATTTTTATTTTTTTTGGTAATGATCTAGCTCTACGCCACTAAACCACGACAACCTAAAAGGTACATAATACCTGAAATCACCTGACGTTCGTGGGAGGTCGTGGGTTTGAATCCCATCTGCGTCAGTCAGCCAAGCCTTTTTCCATTGGAGGTGGAGAAAGAGCACGAGGCGGTCCCTTCGGGAGCCGTGCTGCTAGCTGCTGGAGGTCTAGTATAGGGTGTTTTACGATGCACAGGCGTGATGCACAAAGGGTGCGCGCGCAGTGTCGTGGCAGATGGGAGGCATCTGCGTGCATATCGTCTCTGTCTTGGGGCACGCGGGGTAGCGCGCCTTCAAGAAGAGGGATATTGTGACGACTTATATACTATTATACGCACGAGTATCTGATTTCAGGTATTCGCTACCTTTGGGTTGTCGTGGTTTAGTGGCGTAGAGCTAGATCATTACAGTGTAGCCTATCTACTTATAGAGTATATTATATATCCATTGGTATTTATATTATTAGTGAATTACTTTTCGTACTTTACTATCTAGAGTTTATTAGCTGAACTGCATTAGTTCTATATACCTACCTATAGAAAACCAAAGTATACATCTAGAACTGCTAGGCTGAAGCGCAGATCGGATGTCCGACAAACATTGGCGGGGGGCGTGAGGTTTGCCAGGATAGGAGTATTTCGCGCTGACCGACCCAGTACGGCTGGCTACAGGAGCGCAGATCCTTTGCCTTGGCAGGAAAACGCAGGCCAATCACCTTATACAAGTCTAGCTCGGGTCTCCAGGTGCGTTGCGCCTCTGTACATGGTTCGCTTAGCTACAAATGTACAGTCGCCTACCAAAAGTCATTAGCCACTCAACGATCCAAGCTCTGCGGGGGTATAGTCAGCCTATTTAGGAAAGAGGTTACTTAACTAATTGCTACCTAAATTAAAAGATTTTTGTTTCTATAAGAAGCCTATGTTAAGGCCTATCTTCTAGCGTTATAGTTAATTAATAGTAAGTTAACCTGCCTTTGTTTTAGATAACTTCCTTTATGCGCTTTAACTAGGTTAGGATACTTTTCCTATAATTAGCTAGTGTAATCTTTGCCTATTTTTTTTTAAGAATATCTACTATTTGCTTGTAAGTAGTAATATATTCTTGTTGCTTTAAGATGCAGAGCTTTATAATCTGCTAGAGGTTCTTAATTAGGTTTAAATTAAAACTTTATAAAAGCTAATCTATCTATATTATACTATAGTTGTCTATATACTTTTAGGTAGCCTTTGCAGTATAAATAGGGGCTCTATCCTACATTTATATGCTAATACCGCGTTTCTCTATAAGCTGCTTATAGAATAGGATGCTAACGTTGTGCAGAATCTAGTAGTATTTGCTAGCATTATTCTACTTACCTTTTTAGTTAATAAACAGCTTTAATTTAAAATTAAGAAAAATTACACTAAATACAGAGACTATAGTCCTTCTAGACTTAAATGTAGGCTTTAGGTACTAACTCTTGTACGCTTTTCTATGCTTCTAACGTACATATAGAGGTCTAGTGTCTAAGCTAACTTTAAATGTTGCTTTATTATAATAGGCTATATAAGCTACATTACTACTCTTGTTATATTAATAGATTTAAGTAAAGTAGAGTTGTTTTTCTTTGTGTACAGCTAAAAGCTAAGGCTTGTAACGCAGATAGAAGGCGTAGTACTTATGTTTTACAAGGTATCTTCTTACAGTACTAGCATAGATGCGGCAGTAGGTCTTAGACAGTGTTATAATAGTCTAGAGTGTAGCAAAAAAATTATTTACTGCCTAGCAAATTAAATGCCTCTTAGCGCGTTTGTTAAGCTTTAAAGGCTAGCCTATACGCAAGGCTTTTGTATAGATAGGCTAGGGCTGCTTGCGCAGCTAGCAGATGTTATATGTAACTGTTAACTTAAGAATGCTAAGATAACTTAAAATTTTGCTAGCGCTCACGCTGTAGAGGTGGAATTACTATATTATATTAATAGTAGACTTAGATAGCTCTTTGCGCAAGGTTTTATTTACTTTTATAACTATTAAAAAAGGTGGTAATTTAATTAAGTTATAATTAATTAAAATTAAAGCATTGTAGGGTGGCCTAGGCCTCTCGCTAAAGTGGCCAATCACTTTTAGTAGGCGACTGTACATCTGCATTAATCGGTGGATCCTTGGCGCGTCATCGGCAAATTCCCTCCGCCCCTCTAAATTTTGCAGTAACTACTAAATATACCTATAACGCGCTTAGTATTAACATAATCTGTTACTATTACTACTATGTAAGTTAAGGCTGTAAACTTACTATTATATAGCCTATACTAACTTTTTTTTAGTATTGTAGCTGCCTTTAGTTAACCTTAATAGCTTAAACTAGTTCCTAAGCTGCAGAGAGCGTTCTAGAGGTAGCTACACGTATAAAAACTAGCACTTTTTATTAGCTAACAGCTAAGCAAGCTAGTGCTAGTAAGACAACAGTGTGTTAGTGTAAGTTAGTTAGCTAGCGTAGGCTTGTAGCAGTTGTAGTTCCTTATAGAAGCCCTCTAGCCTAAAAGTAGTCTTGCGCAGCGCCTAGGTTAGTTATACAGCCTGCTGCTACTCTATTAATTAAGCTAGTACATATCCTATTATTGCTGCTCCTATCATCTCCTCTAGTAGTTAACCCTACTCCGCCTACTCTGCTAGTTGCTATACCTGCCTAAATAGTTCTCTAGTTACCTCCGCTACTAAGTAAACTTAAATATAAGATTAATATAGTGTATAACCTATATATAAATAAGTTAAGTATAGTAAATAATTTAAAGTTAGTTAATTACACTTTCTTTCTTATACTAACTATAAAAAACAAGGTAGATGCTATAATTATTAACTCTATGTTAGGTATTTATAGTAGAGACTATAAAGTATTAAGTTACACTATTAGCTATTAAGTACACTAATTAAAAAGTATCTAGTGAATGTTAATAATTAATAACTTTAGCTTTATAGCTAAGCAGCGCCTATTAATGCAAGTAGACTAATACATACATTAGTTTAAAAAAAATTAAGTGTCTTAACATAAAAGTAAAAGTAAGACTTAAAGTATCTATAACAGCGTGTACTGCGTCACATGCTCTGCGGCTTAAGCTCCCTTACTGCGCAACAAGTAGCGCCTTAGCAGAGAGCACACATGTATATTTAAACTCGCAGAGCAGCTTCTTTACTCCTTAGCTTAATCTAGTTAGGTTACACCACCTCTTGCTTGTAGCTTAAGCGTGCTGATTGTAATAGTATCTACTTTATAAAAAGTCATTTATGTAATAAATTAGTTAATAAGCTATTATTTAATGTTTTAGAAACACTTGTAAATTTAAAGTGTATACAGCAGCGGTTTAAAAAGTCTAAAAAGATAAAGTAATAGAAAGCTATATTTACAGTAATAGACTATGTTAGCTTAATTTACAGCTGCTAGGTTTATATTAAAGCGCTTTGTAATAACTATAGCTACTAGTGCTAGGTTAATTTACTTATAAGCACTTTAAAATCTACCCTGCTAACACTAAACCTAAGCAAAGTGTATTCTTAAAAGCATAAATAGTATAAGTATTAAATATCTGCTAATCTAGCTTGTTAGCTACTAGAAGTAGAATATAAGTAATAAACAGCGTATAAACTCTTATAAGTAAAAAAAGAAAAGTAAAACGCTTAGGTTATTTTTAAACTTTAGTAAAAAAAGACTATAAAAGTTAAGAAAGTAAATAGAATTTAGTGTGTAAAAAACTAAATATGAAAAATAAAGAAAAATAAAATAGAGTGTAAGAAGTAAAGAGAGCAGCACAAGTTTAACTATAAGTTATGCTGTAGCCAGCTATTTAGCTAGCTATTTACTCCTAGAGGTGGTTAGCTATACTCTCTACTCTATAGCTAGTTTCCTAGTGTTTTCCCTCTGCATGCCCTATACTTGCTAGGCCTACCACCTACTGCTTCTCTAGGCGCTTTACAGTAGAGTACACAAACTACTTAACAAACTGTTAATGTACTAGTCTTTTTATTAAGCCTTGTAACTAGTAGTAGATATAGTAATATATAAAAAACTATAAAAAAGTTTTTTAAGTAGTTAATTACTTAGTAACTAACGTACATTATAGGCAAGTTGCTTACACACCTAAGTTACTTACTTTTACTAAGACTCTACTAAACTACTCTTTCTACACTAATGCACTTCTAATAATACTACTTAAAAGCGCTAAAAGAATATTAGATACAGCTTATAGTCTAGGCTTTTAAATAAGACATAACACTTTTAAAGTAACATACTGTAGCTAGGTATAAAGTCTCTTAAAAAATAATAAATAACTAACATACTAGATAACCTGTATAAGCTAATTTTATAGCTAACTTACGAAAGCTAAATAATAATAAGAAGTAGGTAATTATTAAGTACATACTTAAGCTATATGTGTAAGAATTTTCCTCTTAGCTAGCAACTATAGCTAATATAGCTAATTCTTTGTGTGCTAAGCATAATCTAGGCTATGTTAGCATAAACTAGCCTAGTATGTTTATAAAGTGTTATCTAGAGCTTAAAGTAAAGTTTAAGCATAAGTTGTAACAAGGTAGGTGTAAGGCTAGATGTTCTAGAACAGGCTAGTATAGCCTTACTTAACCTGTTTAGAGATCACATGACCTGTGCTTCGTATATAAGCATAAATCCTAACAAGCGAGACTTAGCAGCGATTTGTCTCTCTTACAATACACTTCTATCTTTCTCTAAACCCTTGCTCTTAGTGCTATCCGTGCTATTTACTATCCCATCTTTACAGTAGGCACAGTCAACCACGTAGTCTTCTCTCGCTTATAGAGGTTTAGGCTAGACTAGAGACAACCGCTAGTGCTAGTGCTAGCCCTAGCATTATCTATATATATATTATACTATGCGAGAATACTTAGCTTAAGTATTCTCGTGCGTACCTTTTGGTACAGGAGGGAAAGTTGTATAGTATTAGCTTGGCAGGCAGGGCGCCTCCTTATTACATAAGTATAACTATGAAAAAGCTGTTTATAAGAATTCTAAAGTAATTTAAAACTAGTTTAGCCTTATAAAGAATATTAAAGCTAAGTATAGCATCTAGGATAATAACATGTACAACTTTAACAAGATAGACTTTATATTAAGCTAGATATTTACTAACTATACTTGCTCTTAAAACTTTACTTTAAGCTTTAAATAACACTTTATAAACATACTAGGCTAGTTTATGCTAACATAGTCTAGATTACGCTTAGTGTGCAAAGAATTAGCTATATTAGCTATAGTTACTAGCTAAGAGGAAACTTCTTACGCATATTGTCAGATATGCGCACCTACTGTCAAGACAGGAGGAACGTTTGACGAAAGCTGCTACATAGTACGAGCAATAAGCTCGAACAGTATGTTGCTGCAAATTGCTGCATGTTGCAGCAAATTGCAGCATGTTGCAAGCTGGTCGCGCATAGGGCTAGTGCGCGAGGGACTCGGATCGGAAAAACAAAAGCCGAGCAACACGAGTAGAGCAGAAAAAGGATTAATAAATCAATACAATCAATCATCATCCCATACATCATATCCAAACCCATCATTCATCTTAGGAAGCCTAGAAACAGTGCTTTAATCTAACACATATAGCTTAAGTATGTACTTAATAATTACCTACTTTCTATTATTATTTAGCCTTTATAAGTAAGCTATAGAATTAGGTTATAAAGGTTGTCTAGTGTGTTAGTTATTTTTTATTTTTTAAGAGACTTTATACCATATTACTTTAAAAGTGTAAGCTGTATCTAATGTTCTTTTAGCGTGTCTAAGTAGTGTTGTTAGAAATGCATTAGTGTAGAAAAAGTAGTTTAGTAGAGTCTTAGTAAAAGTAAGTAACTTAGGTGTGTAAGAAACTTGCCTATAGTGTACGTTAAAAGAAAACTAAAACAACTATAGTAGAGTAGTAAAAGTAGTAATTAAGTAAAAATAGATAATTAAAGATCTTTATTAGATGTTAAAGCTAAGTAGAGAGTTCTACTCTATTATAGTAGGTATATTTAAGTTAAAAGATAGAATAGTTTAAACTATTTTATTATACTATAGTTAGTCTAGCAGCATTGCATAGTATAAAAAGGAAGTAGAGTAGCATTATTTATAGTTTATAGTATCTACTAATAGTATTTTAATCTTAAAAATAAAATAGTCTATAAAGCTTCTACCTTACACACTCTAACACTTTCTACTTAGTATATAATCTACTAGCTATATACTTAAAGTGTTTTATAGTAAACTTATTATATCTACTTTTCTATAGTGTTGCTTTTAAGAACTTTTTAAAGCTATCTAAACTAATTTAAGCTTTTATATATATATAATTTTTATAAATTTATGTCTTTAAAACTAAAAAAAGTAAGCTTAATTAGGTTATAGTTAAGTAAGTATAGTAGCAAGTACTGTATAATATACATAGCACACTTTAGAACCTAGTAAACTCTATTATTTATATAAATTAAGATGTTATTAAGGACTATTACTATTAGTTTAAAGCTATACATTACTTAAAAAGTAGAAATTAGTTATAGCTTTATCTATTATATAAAGTCCTTTTAGTTAAAGTAGTCTTCTTTAATTCTAGTACATAGTAGGTATTCTCTTATTATGTAAGCAGGCAGGATTGCCTAGGTAGCGCCTTACTTTATATCCTAGGTATACAAAGACTTGTAGCCTACTAGGCTGCATATGTAGTGCCTCTACCTATTCTTTTTATTAAATATTAACTTATCTAAAAACACTAAATCTTTAGCTATAAACTACTCTATTTTAATGTAATACAGTGGCTCACCACCGCATGCACGGTTCAGCCGAATTTTTCAGAATCTTCCACCCTCTATATCTCCACCAATATGGCAGGTATTGAGACTGCGCTTGAAGCGCTGGAATCGCTGAAGCTAGGAGAATCACCTAATTACACAGAATACGCTAAAAAGTATGGTGTTGATCGCTTAACGCTGTCGCGGCGCCACAGGAAGATAACCCGCTTATATGCGGCAGCGATTGATGACAGCTGGAATCTTAACACTATACAAGAAAAACAGCTTATACAGTATATTAATAAGCTTTGTGTTAAAGGGCTACCTTCTTTAAGGCAAATAATCTAAAATTTTGCGTTAGAAATAGCTAGGAAACCTATAAGCAAAAACTAGGCAGATTGTTTTATAAAACAACACAATATTAACCTAATATCACGCTAGACATTAGGCCTAGACTCCTTACGCAAAAGAGCTAACTCTGCCTTTAAGTACGCACTGTATTTTAAGCTTTTAGAGCAAAAAATTAATTAGCACAAAATCCTACCCTACCACATGTATAATATAGATAAGAAGGGCTTCCTAATTAAGGTGTTAAGTAGGATAAAAAGGGTGTTCTCTAGAAAGCGCTATAAAGATAGGAAAATTAAACAAATGCTCTAGGACAGTAATTAAGAGTAGATTACAACTATTGCATGTATTTGCGCAGACAGGACAGCTCTTACGCCTGCGCTTATATATTAAGCCCTCTTTAGAAATATTTAGGATACCTAGTTGTAGGATTTTAATCCTACACTTTATAAGGCATTTTTTAGCTTATTACTAAGCAGATAGACAAATAACGCTATAGGTCTAGCATAGCTATAGTAGGTATTTAATAGGGAAACCTAGGCAAAAGCAGGGTAATTAAATTAACTTTTAATTCTTAATAGCTATAGATTACATGTCACTATAGAGTTTATAAAGTTCTGCAACACTAACAGGATCCTTCTAGCTATATTTCCTCTGCATTTAACTTATACGCTGCAGCCTTTTAATGTCTACATGTTTAAGCCTTTTGTAACTGCTTACTTAGCTAAACTATTAAGTTTCCTAGAGAGGTGCTAGGGGATCTTATCTATAACTAAAAAGGATTTCTTCTATATGTTTAACGCTGCCTAGGAGGCCTTATTTAAGGCTACAACTATTCTTAAAGCCTTTAAGTTAACTAGACTAGTCCCTTTTAACTCTACAGTAATATTAAAATAACTTAATACATAAGATGCTAATTAGCTGTCTTCTAGCAACTTAACTACTTTAGTACTTAGCGCTTCTAACTAGAGAAAAATAGAGCGCTTACTTAAGCAGGTAGAAGAGGATATTTATAATAAACGCTTTAAGAAGCTTAGTTATATAATTTACATAATCTTAGTATAGAAGAGCCTTCTACAACGTAAAAACAAGCGCCTTAAAGAAGCTCTTATTAATAAAAGGAAGCGCTGGCAGCGTAGGAAGCCTCTACTACTTAAAGCGCCTTAAGAATACAACAGTAGTGCAGTATTCTAGTCACTGTAACGATTCTCATGAATCGTTCCATCTCGGGTCGCCCGGAACCTATCCGAAGGGTCTCCGTATCGGCTCCGACCCTGGCTCGACCCTGACTCGACTCTGCCCGGCCCCCTGCTGTTACCCCTATTCCCTCATGTATTTAGTCGCACCTCGCCCCTGTAGCTAGCTCGGTAGTTTTCTGATATCCTACGTACAAGGCCTATAGGTGTCAATGGCATTCCCAGG